TCTATGCTCAAGGAATTGGCATCTCTGCATGGAGTTGCGGCGGAGCACTCGTGAGTATACGTATCTGCGATGGGGGCGGGCGTCTTCCCAAAGAGGGGCAAGCCGGTCCCGGATGGTCATCAAGGTCAGAGAAGAGCCCTCAGATTTTCCGAGGACATGGCCAGCCTAGACCCTAGATACTGGATGAATATTATGGAAGAGCAAAGCATCTCAACGCGAGCGGAGTAGCCCAAATCATATCAAGCAACATCGCTGTGAGGAATGGATCTTTGAAGGTGGAGGGAATTCAGTGAAAACGAATTCTTTTGTCCCAATCCGTGGAGCATGAGTAGCTCCTGTTCATTCGTGCTTGGTCCCGTTGTTGTTTCATCGAGCAGCTTCGTCCCCGTCGTTCTTCTCTTTGTCCAGATCTACTATCAGCACATTCAATGTTTGGTCAGCGGTCATTAGACTCGCCGCATATGTCCACACAGAGAACAAACATGTTAACATACGTACTTTCATGCGTTCATAGATACAAACAAGCGTTCGGTCTAGCTAACAGTCCACTGATGATCCATCGAGCTACCGCGACGAGGAGCTGAGAATAGACTCTAGAAGTAAATGTGGTCCTACCTATAACGAAACAGTGATCCCACCCATCGAATCAATTTGAGTGCTTCGATTCGTTCGAAATTTGACTCCGTATTATTGGATTGGCGATCTCGCTGAGATTTCTCGAATCGATCCATCAGCATGCGACGACTGCGTCGACTTTCCGTTACTGCTCGTCCGAATTCTCAATTATATCGTCAGAATATTACTCTTCATTATTACGATTGTTGACTCGTTGACTCGAAATTTGATTGTAGAGATCGGAGACCAATGGGGAGCGAGACTAGACGAGTACACATGAGAGCTCGGAAAAAAAATCGCAGAAACAGAGAATGAAATCCGCTCCGATCCAGCCAGTGAACGATGACGAGTAGCACACTGCGACGTCGCGCGAAATCAATTCTCCGGCAGTCTTGGCGCGACCGAGGAAGGTGCTTGTATTTCAGGCAGCCAGCCCAAACGACTCTGGAAGCCCGAGCATAATCCACGAAGTCAGATCGACTTATTATTCGAAGTATGAGCTCTCGCCAGAAGCCCTGTTATCGACGAGCTCATGGATCGGCATCGATTTGCTTAGTCGACTGGTTGAGGGGAGAGCGAACGAGCGGATGAATGAAAGAAGGGTAATCATTCAGTGAGGCTCCCACCCCGATCGGATCCGGTGACTGCGGAGAACTCAACTGGTCAATGAATGGCACGGGTTGCTCCCTTTCTTCCTCGCTAGCACACATTCGAACTACAGTGCAGGGACTCTGAGATCAATTCGCTCGACGATGCATTGTCCGAAAGATGACTAATTGGCCGAAAATATGTATAATTCATGGTCATCGCTGGCCTGTGTAGGCAGTCTCCTCGAAGGGAGCAATCGCTCGACATATCATAAGAGATGTCGACCTTGACACAATTCATCGATTTCTGATACAAATATTGAGAAAGAGGGGTGATGAAAGAATTCACTGACACATGAGCGCAGAATGTATCGGTTTCCGAGCTTAAGTCATGACATTCTAGAATCGAGATAGTCATAACATAATCATTCCGAAGGAAATCGAACTCGAGAACTCCGCCCCAGAAAATCATTCTGATGATTCTTACCTAAGGTCCATCGGGAATAATGCCGAACCGCGATGGTATTCCACGAGGATTCAACAATACCGGGTTCGGAATCAGCGTATCGATGAACGAAACTGTGGATTGAGTCGTCCGGGATCCGAAGTCTGACCGATTCCTTCAGCTTCATTCTTTTCGGACCGGTCACTTTGCTGCAAGCGAGAACATTAATCAAAATTGGACTCGGTCATAAATGATCGCTATATTAGTCAGACGGCGTTCTGAATGGGTGAAATTATTAGGAGCCATTTACTTGAACTTCCCTCCCTCGCATACACACAACCATATCGGGTCACAACAATGGCTCGGCAGCAGCCAGCGTCACCGACCTAACATACATCCGGAGATGTGATGCACAACACAAGCACAGTTTTGACACATGACTCCATTCAACGACTACTGATCTGCATTGGTGCTCATCGGAGTTATTGGCTGATCTTCAGGAGAAGAAACAAATGCGTCTGTGTATGGGGGATATGTAGCGGAATAATAATTCTAATTGGATATCGAATTCGGCAACATGCGGGATCATCCTCAGTGTATCAGCTGGTTCCTCGATCCTCGAAGATGCTATGTCACATTTGGCCGGGCGGCGCCCTCCGCGTTCGTCAGTCTTACAATGAGCTGAAACGGGCGCCCGGAAAGAGTGGGCGGGCGAAAGCTAGTATCGTTGCTGCAGTTAGCGGGTCCGGGCTGTTCACGCGCCATTAGGAAGCACTTTCGTCCTGCTCAAAAAACGCTTGTCCGTGATCCGCCGCTATGTACACGGACAAACATTAGAGGAGGGAGCTTCTGATTCAGTTGGGGCCAAATCTTGCCCCTGCACTTACATCGAAATTCCGTGCGATCGCCTCGACTAGGTCGTCAAGCATCATGCGAATTCCCAACTTTTTTCAGAGTTTCTCAGAATCATACGTGTGCAATCAACTGACAGACGTAGGTTCATATCGGCTGCGCGGAGGATGGTCACCGGAGAGTGATATTCGGATTCTGGTCTCGAAATGAATTCGGACCCTTATTATGCCTGCAGAACTTCTTTTGAATGGAGGAGCGATCATGATGTCTTCGCCAGAGATCGCGACGCTCAAGGAATGTGACTTCAGGGCGATTTCGTGAGTCCGTCGTCTATTTACTCGATTGAGAAGCACTGGAGCGGTAAATTTTGCAGCGGAGGGTACCGAGGACTGCTTTGTTAGTTTCTGTGGTCGCCTTAATAGACCTCTAATGGCGGCTCGCAGGTGTGAATTTCCACCACTTTTTTTCAACCAGATGCCTCGGACACAATACTTCTGCGGGTGATCCCTCCGTGCCTCTCACCGATCGAGTGCAAATACAGCTTGGGTAGCGTTCGGAAGAATTTGTGTGTTTGTACAACGCTCGAAATCGGCCCGACTCTGTGCCTAGCGGGGGAGTTCATGAAGCCGTTGAGAGCGATTGTATCAGACCCTCCGAATGGAATAGCCTAGTCGACATGGAAGCGTAGATGTATTTGATAATGACACCAAGAGTTTCCCGTACGTTTCGACCGTCCGAAAACTCTCCACGATTATTCGCTTCTTTACGCAAGGTGTCATTACTCATAATTTATGCGTACACCCTCCGTGCGTCGAATCCAAAAGCTCACTGTTGTCGATAGATGGAGCTAGATATCTGATTGGAAGATTCTCGACAGTTCAACACAATATTTGAAGCCATGACCCACCGGTTAGGCCGGCGCAACCTCGGCTGTGCAGTCATCGAATAGTTTCAATTCGTAGTCCCTACTAGTGGAAACATCTTCGTGCTTTCAACACACGAATTCGAAGGATTGACATGGCAGGAGAGAGACACGAAGCCTGCTAGCATGACTTCAAGCGATCATTGCCCGCTAGTACGTCCGTGTATCGGATCAGGATCCTAGCCTTTCTGTGTCCGGCTACTTTCACCATAAATCTCACTTTCTCTTGCCAATACATGCGCATCTACCTGTATCTGTGTCGGTCGGGATCAATCGCCCTGGTCACCGGCACACTGAGCAATCTCATTCCGCCGTCCTGCTGTCTTTGTTCGCCAGATGTAGAAGTTGAACGCCTTGAGTGGGATAGATGCGAAAATTTCTATCCAAATTACAGGGAGACGAATCGAGAATACGTTATGACCCCGTCACTCTCCAATCTCCTATGTGGGCTATGACTTGGAGCGGAGCATGCGGCCGTCCCGTATTCACCGACGCATATCAGAGTCGAATGCCCACGACTCACGAGCATCCATAGATTCCCGAGCTGTTTTCTCAAGAGCTTGAATCGCAGCCGGTGCGTTCTCAAGCAAACATCTATCGGCAGAAAACGCAGCTCGATCAAGGGGGAACTAGGCTGTCGACTCCTTATTCCAGGCATTCATATGATGTTCTCAATCAAGGGAGAATGCTCCATCCCCTCTTCCAGTGATCTCCCCGAGTCGGCCCTCGTCTCGGAAGAGTACAAAGGAGGAGCTATAGCGGGAATCGCATTGAACTCGGGCTCCTCACCTTCCAGGTCTAATTCTGCATTGCGCTGCTGCAGTCAAGATCACGTGACTTATCGCAGGATTCATAACGGATGGAGACACATGTTCGTATATTGCTGTGAGCCTGGTATCATGGAAGCATCTCCTGCAGTGTGTGAGTCGAAGAGCTCACGGGGAAAGTCCGAGAGCCCCCCGGCAGAGGAGCTGTTCGCGAAAAAGCGTCGCGCTCAACCGAGAGCGGAGCCGACTTCTCCTACTTCCGCCTCCACGTAATTTTGTGCAGCCAAGAGATCCTTGAGCGGACGGGAGAAGCAATTGTCCGGATTGCCGGAAGCAGAACATCGTCGTCGTCGATGGTGGACGGCGACTATTGTACCCTCTGGCTCCAGGTTCGTTCTCAGAGACGAAAAATAAGCGATTCGTCTGCAGGACCCGTTCCTCTGAACTCCCACCCCGAGAAAATCGAGTGTTCCAGGAGGGTCATCTCGGAGTCTTTCCTCGACGAAGGAAGACAGCGAATGTCGTCAGGATTTCCGCTTCCGGAGCCTCCACCGTCTCACGAGCTCCCCGCGTCATACCGGAGGATGATTGAGCGGGATATTACTCCCGTCGAGGAGATGAGAAACTCGGCTCGCGGAATCATCACAATTATCGGAATCCTAATCGATCCCGATGTATTGGAAGCTTCGCCTTCTCATTCTGTCAGGGCAATGCATGGAGAGGGAATCTCTGTGACGTGTTGACGGGCAGCATGTCCCATGCGAACTTCGTTGGTGCCATTTGGAGAGGTGTCCGATGGTTTCGATATCCGTTCGAAAATGTAATCGAATATAGGCGCGGAAAACAACGCAAAGCATCCTTGGATTCGACGCGCTTTCTTCCGTTTTGATCGCTACAGCTTGTGGTAATTTCGTCGAGGATATAGATCAGGGTTCCGTTCCGGTGATCTCGAGCAGTATCCACTTCTGTATCAGATCTCGAGCAGTGTCAACTTCTGTACCAGGTCTCGAGCAGTGTCAACTTTTGTATCAGATCTAGAACGAGCTTCCATTGCAGAGGCCTCACGCTGTTCCTGCGGGAATGGAAGAAGACCTTTCAGATTTACTGAAGATCTATGGCGTCGGAGCCGCACCTTCGAGGCGAGCAGTTCAGCCGGGAAGCAATGGTCGTCCGATCCAACTGGTGTCGAACCTCTACAATGTATCAGTGCAAGCTCCGACCGTATACCGCTACGAGGTCACCATTGATAGGATCGGCGCGAAGCAAATGGTGGGATTCAAGAACGCGAGGAAAAATGTCACATCCGTCAGGTTGAACCAGCGAGCAGTGACTCAATTCGCTAGAGAGGGCTATTTGGGCAGTTGTGTTCCGGCTTACGACGGACGGAGTATTTTGTATATGATGCGACCGCTCCCATCGCCGATCACTTCTGCCACCGTAACAGTTAACCTGGACGATGGGACAGAGTGCGATGAATTCGCTCGGAAGCAACAGTTCGAAATATGTCTGAAGGAAATCGGACCTCTTTCTCTGAGAACATTCAATCAAGAGGTCGTCCAAGCGCTCGACATCATCGTGCGCACCGGTCCGCTGATTGAGCCCAGCATCGTCCCAGTGGGACGTTCCTTTTTCAGTCGGACGATGAGTAACCTGGGGGATGCTTCGATGCGTGGCTGTAGAGAATTGTGGTTCGGATACTTCTGCTCGATCCGGCCAGGACAATGGAAACCAATGCTGAATGTCAATATATCGGCCACGCTTTTCCATGAGAAGCTCCCTCTCGTGGACTACGTGGTCAAGTTCCTCAACAAGAATACTCCGGACGAGCTCAAAAACGGCTTGAAAGCCTCGGAACACGAGGTTTTGAAGCGAGAGTTACAGGGCGTCAAGATCAAGGTCAGTTTGTGCTGCTGATGATCGCCAGATCCCCCCCCCCGTCGAGCCTCCCTAAGGTCCTCTATCGGGAATAGAATTGAGTAGTCTACCCTGTGTCACGCATTCGTTCGCATGATTGTCGGAAGCGACTCGCCGTGGGGACGTTAATTTCTTCAATCTGGTCGTCTCATCGATATAGGTCACGCATTTGCCTTACCAACGGCGGTACACGGTTGCCGGGATTTCGAAGAAAGGTGCGGCAGACTACACGTTCGAGGTCAACGGTGCTCGAGTCAGCGTAGCCGACTACTTCGAAAACCACTACGGTATCCACCTCCGGTATCCCGCGCTACAATGCGTCGAGACGTTAACGAAGGACGGCAACAAAAACTACATACCGATGGAAGTGTGTGAGACTATCGAGGGTCAGCACGCGAAAATAGTCAATTCTGACCAGACGGCGGTACTCATCAGAAAAACAGCGATGACGCCGAAAAAGCGATTCGAGAGCATCGACAAGTTCGTCAAGAAAGTTGTCAATGAGGACGCTGCTGCACACCTACGCGAATTCGGGCTCCAGGTCGGCTATATCGAGTCGGCCTCCGAACTTCGGAGAATGACTTTTTCTCTCTCATCATCGGCTGTGCGATCTGGCTTCATCTATTTCGGCTATGATAGCGACATTTTCTTTCGCATCCATTCTCAGCGATCTCGCTCATCCGACTTCGTTCCATTCCAGGTTGACCTGAAACCAGTTCAAGTCAAAGCCAGAGTCCTCAACTCGCCCACGCTAGAAATCGGAAAACAAGGAACCTTGAAACCCAGGGATGGTTATTGGCGAATGGAAGGAAAACAGTTCTTCATCGGCGCCGAACTGTCCTGCTGGGGTGTGGCGGACTGCCACGGCTCAGGCCGTTGCGCGGAGTTCGCTAAGAGTCTCGAGCGCCTCGGCAGGAATCTCGGGATGAAAATTGAGCCGCCGGCCTTTGTCCGGAACTATCAGAAAGTTCCTGCTAAGAAGATGCTTTCGGAAATCAAGAGCCAGTTCCCACAAATCGTGATGACACTCGTGATCATGGGTAGAGACACCGAGTACGAAGTCATCAAGCAGCTGAGCGAAAATGACGAATCGCTCCTCCAGATAACCCAGTGCATCAGGGGTTCTAACATCGAGAGCAAGAAATGCAACAACAATTTCATCACCAACGTGCTCATGAAGATGAATGCGAAGCTCGGTGGAATAAACAACGGGTTGAAAGAAGTGCCGGAGTGCATGAGAGAACCATTCATCGTTTTCGGGGCTGACGTCTCTCATCCGGGTCCGACGAACGATATACAACCATCGATCGCCGCGGTGGTCGGGAGTCTAGACTCAACACCATCCCAATACCATACCGTGACCAGCTTCCAAAGGAGCTCCACCTGCAATCGACTGGAATATATCGCTAATCTGAAAGTCATGATCAAAGACTGCTTGAGGGCTTTCTATCGCAGAAACCGCACGAAGCCTATGACACTGTTATTCTATAGGGACGGTGTCTCAGAGGGCCAGTTCGAAGCCGTGAGGGTCTTTGAAATTCTACAGGTAATGAGAGTTCGAGCACGGGATAGAAAGAGAGTCATTTTGGGAGGGTCGTGGAATCCGGACGAACAAACGCCCTCGGAGAGCTTCTTCGTGGTTCTTTACGTACCGATCATTTTCCAGATTCGAATGGCCTGCAAGGAACTGCAGGACGACTACGAGCCGCCTCTGACGTTCATCGTTGTCCAAAAACGTCATCATGTGCGCTTCAAACCCCTCAACGACGCGGATAGTCGGCATGAGAATATCCCCGCGGGTACGGTTGTCGAAGACACGGTGACGCACCCTGTGAACTTCGACTATTTCCTATGTTCCCACGCAGGAATACAAGGTACCTCCAAACCCGCGCACTATCGAGTCCTTCACGATGACGCCAACCGATCCGCCGACGAGCTTCAAACTATTTCCTATAGTCTCTGTCATGTGTACGGCCGTTGTTCTCGTTCGGTTTCCATACCGGCTCCGGTCTACTACGCACACTTGGCGGCAGCGCGAGCGAAAGATCATTTCAAAGCGGCAAACATTCATCCTTCATCGACTTCTGACGGGTCATCGGGCATCGAATCCGGTTCTAGTCTCCTTCAGAAAGAGATTGGCCGAGACCTGGACCTCCACGATCTCAAGCGACTCAGCAGCAACGTCGATGCACGGATGAGAGATTACCTTTATTACGTTTAGTGTGATGATTTTCAGGCCGATGTTTACCCTCGCGGTCGTTGGGAAGTTGTGTCAACTCTCTATATACATTTAATAAATGCCTGTGATCCCGGAGGCATCGGGAATGCAGGCGTCGGTTTGTGGAAAGACAGAGTGCAATTTTCCAGCACGATCGCGTTGTCGCTCCGGGAAATGGAAGTGATGTGTCGTTGGATCCACACAGCGATGAACAGCTCGAGCGAGTTCCTGACAGAGTCAACGATACGCTCAATGCTGTCTATGCGCAGAGTTGACGATGTTCTCCGAGTCAATGCATTCTCGTCTCGGCAGCGGCGGCGGCGGCTTTGATGCGAACCGCTACTCGGGATCCATGTCATCACGGGAAGTAATACCGACGGGTCTGGGTTCGTTTTGTTCAACAATACTTTCATGCTCCGTTGAGTGACTCCCATCTCAAAGGAGCATCTGCCGCGAATCGCAATGACCACCATCGATGTAGTTTCAATTAAAAGATGTCGTTCAACGAGTCCGCCTCATGACAGCCATCAGAACACGAGGCCTCGTCGTATGCGTATGGCAGAGTCGCTCTTTTAGACTCCGCTTCCTCGAAATCTCTACCGAATCTCCTATTTATGGAAGTCTAATTTTCGGCTCACGGAGACAGTCGCCGATCGAATTTCGCCTTACCGTCTGGAATAATTCTCTAAGATCTTCGCATGAGCGAAGGCTTCTATAGATCAAACTTGAGATTGGCTTTGGGCGCTTCCAGACGACAAGACAACTCCCGGTCTGCTTGTGCAGGGAAATACGATCATTAGAGGATCCACCGGATAAGCTCCGTAGCGAATGGACGGCATGCTACAGTCTTCGTATGTCAATCGTACTGCTGTGAGTGTAACTCTATACGCGCCAGATGGAGTATTAGTTACAGAGATCAGAGCACGCTTGCATACATCGGATAATCCCTCGCCGTTTGTTCGACCGCTCGGCTATAGCGATGACTTCAAAGTTACCCACTCCCTTGTTTCGCATCGCTGCTCGGAGCCTATTGACTCGGTGTTCAATCCGGTTCATCTTTTTTGTGTTTTGGTAGACCTGTGCCTCAGTCAGTCAGATGAGATTTCTCGACCGACGAATCGGCGGATAGGGATCTCTCAGGTCGGTGTCTCGGATGGAATGTCTGTAGTGACTCCGGGCAGCACGCCAAATCATAATTCCATTCTCCGGGCGAACTAGACGATAGCGAAAGGGTCATCGAGACCAAAACGCTGCTGTGCGACGTTTCTGCTCTGTTCATGCGGAGATCAGGTGTTGGACTTTGTTTTTATTCTTTGGGGGTAATATCCGGAATCTAATGATAAGAAAATAGTCTTGTCTCGCACCCATTTTTTCCGTGATGATGAATTTCCGTCTGCTCTTATCTCTGCCGTCAGGTATTCACATACAAGAGGACGACCTTCCGGACGACTCGACAATCACTCCACTCACGTCTACATCGGCCCTTATTGTCTTCGCCGTATTATATGTACCTCGAGAAGGGTACCGCACAATGCTGCACAAAACTGATAATTCACAGCTGTGGAGCCTTCCGAAATATCGGAGAACGAAACGTACCTGGGATTGGTTCTTACTGCGAGGGCATGAAAACAGGGTTGTTTCTTTTCGATCTTTCTCTGGATCTCAGGCTCATGGAAGCTTCCGCTCAATCGATGTGAACCGTCTTATACGACGAATCGGAACGCCTCGATGAAGTCCTGTGCTCCTCGTGCGCCGGCGGCCGTGGTGGAGAGTCGTTGCTCGCCCATTCATGCGAGACGTTTTGTATCCTCCACCGGAGATCCTTCTGAAGGGCGTGAACTCTATCCAGTAGCAGCTGCCGAGGCTTCCCGCGCTCTACTATTTTTTCTCCTGATACAGAACCTAGTCGCATGCTCCAAAGGGTATAAAACACTGTTTCCTAAACGCGTACCCGCCTGATTACGAAACACGGCACGAGAACTCGCGCGTCGGGGACCGAAGATATATTGTTCGCAGTCCATCGATCTCTCCACAGCTCCCCAAGCTGCGAGAACGGCAATGCATTTTTCGGAGCGATCGGATGGCTGTCCACATTTCACGCGTAGGAATTGGGAACTATGGAGATAAAAGACCAGGCGACTCGCAGGAATTGTGAGTTTTGACGTGAAAACGTCTTTAAAATGTCTTTAGTAGCCGGTCAAAGAAACTTCGTCCTCCATGCAACGAAATCTAGTCCGCTTTCGCGGGGCTGGATCTCCGCTGATAGGAATCGGATTATCACGAGGATTGGATCGGAAGATTGCAAATTTACGGGACATTGTTCCGATGAATTTTCGTCCGGAACCGAGTTGAGGAAGAGGTCCCATTAGACAATTTCTGACGACCCACGAAAACCTCTATTCAGCCGCATAAATAATTGTTTCCCAGAACAGGGGAAGAATGGTCGGCTCAAGCAATTGAATGGAAGTAAGACTCTGATGTATATCGGCGACGACACGGACTTCAAGTGACTCAAGACTGCTTGTCCGGGGAGTAATCTAGCTCGTAGGGATACCTATCCCTTGCTATGGTGGAGAAAACCGCAGCGGCGATGCAGGTTCTCTTTATCTGCTTTCAGACCGCATATCAAATAAGTTTCTTGCACTTGGGATTCTGATCGGAGGAGGATCTTGAATCGAACAGGGCTCCGAGTGGAGATTAGCTCGTCTATCCGCAATTGGAAACGGAGGTTTCGCCGAGATTCGATTGATTATGACGAAGTGTGCAGCTGAGTCTCCCAAGAGGACTTCATTCCTTGGTGTTCGCCATGAGACCGAAGACGAGTAGCATCATGCGAATGAAGCGGAAAGCAAGAGTAGCTGAAAATATAGGGCAGTCTGAAGCAGCTGCGAAACGGCCGAAAACATAAACGGAAAGATCCCGCGAAAATCGTGGTCGTCGTCGTGCAATGGCCCAGTCACCAGAGGCCAACACGGGAGATCTTGGTGCGCTGAGTTCGAAGTATTCCCCCCTGGAATAGACCATCCCAACTGACCAGACGCTCAGATGGGGGCCGTCACTGAGTTGAGACTCGCATGAGGCCCATTAAGTAGAGCATGCCTGTGAATATAAGCACGGCCTCCGTTCCGAACAATTACGAATTACGATATTCATGCTCTCGAGAATCGAAGATGGAAATGTGAGTCGGCAAGAATCGGTACATTTCATGCGTCAGGATAGCGATAGTCGAAACGAGCTGGGTGTCCTCAGAAATAATGCTGCGAAGTTCGATGGAGGTACCGAATGCACGAGGAATGCGGCTTACGAATATAGGTGGAAAAGAGCGACGCAGCGATTCAAAAATATGTTCCTTCACAACGAGTTCGGGCATAAATGCGATGTCTGTGATCGCCTCTGGTTTCCCCGCGATCTCAAAACAGTGAATCCTAGTATGGCGATGTTTCTGCGAGACCGTTTCGAGAACGAGGATTTCACGGTCTTCAAGCTATGCGGTAATTGTTTCAGAGTGTGTCGGAAATTCAAAATCCCACCTCTCAGTAAGACCAATGGATATCAATATCCAGCGAAGCCGACGTAGTTGCCGAAATTAGGCCCTCTATCGGAACGTCTCGTGTCACCGCGGATACCATATATGCAGATCCGTCGTTTACGTCGTAATGGTTGCTACGGCATAGTCGGGCAAGTAATAGCGTGCCCGTCGATGTGAATACCATGGTTCTGTCATTGCCACGGTCACTCGATGACGACTGACGACTATGCTTTTAACGTGAATCTCAAAAAAAGACATCATTCACAAGTCTTCGTATTTGAGTGGCTTCGTGAAAAAATCAACCGTGAAATCTTGGCTTCAGTTCCTGATTGACCAACCGCTATACAGATACTATGGTATAACTGTAGACTTCTCGAAGCTCAATGAGTCTGTCCCCTCTGCCGAGTCTGCCCATGCTTCCGCAACTGATTTCGATACCGAGGAACTCAATACGGTCACAGAACCAGAATCGGGGATTTAGAATGCACTTCAGCAGACCATGATTTGGAACGAAGACCATTGTCTAGATATCGCTCCCGGACAGTATAACAGGGCCGAGAGCCTATTATTTGATACTTATGCGGAGGAGCTGTCTTTTCCTGAAAGGGTCTAGGCAAATTCAGACTTAGGAAACCGATTTTGTCGAGTGGGGTCTCAATCGAAAGGTAATTTTGAGAGGAATATTTTCCGCATGGTCCCGGATCTGATCAGTACTCCTGGACGGAATAAATGCCCGGAGAAGTTTTTTCTTCAACCCCTTCTATCTCGAGAACGGCTATAGCTACAGAGTCGTGCGATAGCGCGATCGAAAGCTCTCGTCGAGAGCTTTCATTTGATACCAATATCGACCTATTTGGCCGTTTCTGAGGCTTCAAAAAGGAGAAAACTAGTTTTCGGAAGCTTCGCTTTCATACTTCCACACGAGACGCCACTTTGATACTTTGTCAGATAAAAGTCCCAAGTGTCCCCCCCATTTATTAGAAATCATATCAGGAAAATCGAAGCGTCACTTTTTGTTGAAAAAAATCATTATTTTCCCCGGCCAAAATCCGTTTTTTCCGGAATTTCCCCGGATCGCCCCTTTTTCGCCCGACTACTCCTAAACTGGCGCCAGGCGCCCGTTTTCGAGCCCGGAATCTGAAAGCTGAAGCCGAGAGCTTTCGATTGCACCCCCTGGTCACCCGATTCGGCCTCAGGGACAGGAGAAAACGTCCATCCTCAGAGTTTTCATCCAATCCCATTGAGGAAGCACATGGATATTGCGATTCAGGGTGACACTCATTAGGGCTCATCGGGTATGGGGAGATAAATACGAACTATAGTCCTTCATGAAGATTACGACTTTATTCAGTCATTAGCTCCATCCGCCTCTGACTCCGTTTCGCCTCCACACGGCAAAAATAGATTTCCAGGTTCGCTGCCGGACGAGGAATGGTGTCGAGATATCTCGCATACGAGAGGTAGAAAACCGCAG